TAAAGGCCTGTATTTGGCGAGGAAGTCCATCATTTAGTCAGCTATGAGTGCTTCACTTCGGCTCTTCGTTTTATGTACAGGCACCACCTAAGCCTTTTTAGTGGTGGCCACTTTCTTGTGAAAACACGCTGGAAAATTTTGAACGAGGGAGAGCGAGCTGATGAGCACACCTTTTAGAATCTGCATGCTGATATGATCAGGACCTGTTGCTTTTTGGGATCAGATTTTTGAAGATTATACCATACACTTTTATATTATGATTAGTTCTATGATGTGGTTCATCCTCAAAGTAGCTGGTGGATTGCACCTGGGTTTACACACTTGCATCTTATTGGTTAAATGTTCTGCCAATAGATTGACCTTGTCCTTGGTTTTACCTGCAAGGTAGCCATCATGTTCTTGAGTGGAGGCACTAGAGTATTGGCTCTGACTCTTTGTGCATCCTTTATAAGGGACCACCGTACTTTCGATACAATATTCCCATGTTGCAACATCTTCCTCGTATCTTCCCACTTTTTGAATGTTCATTGTTTAACTTTTTTTCAATTTTTGCAAGCTGCACGATGTTGTTACAAGTTCCGGGATGCGGGGTGTCTTTTTATAATGCTTCCAGACATCATATTTAGCATCTGATGGTTGTCGGCGCCAATAACCAAACCAAAGTTGGTCAGAGTCCCCTATTTTGTGCTGCCGATGAGGGACATACTGATGCTACAGGTCAAGTATGTGGTGTTTCGTTTGTTTGTCAATGTCCCCTTTTAAGAGGTTGTTTCGCTCAGTTGAGGCCAGGGCATCACTGAGGGAGGTCCATGTGCACGGTCCCAGAGGCAAGGGATCCTTATGGTTTCTTCTGAATGCTCAGTTATTAACTTCATGTCTGTGAGGACAACCTGATGATCAGAGGATCCCACAAATCCTCTCTCTCTCTAACTCTCCTGTCTCACTCCTCTGTCTCTGTCTGTCTCTCTCTCTCTCTCTCTCTCTCTCTCTCTCTCTCTCTCTCTCTCTCTCTCTCTCTCTCTCTCTCTCTCTCTCTCTCTCTCTCTCTCTCTCTCTCTCTCTCTCTCTCTCTCTCTCTCTCTCTCTCTCTCTCTGTCAGGAGTATCGAAATAATATGTATGAAATCTTTTCACCTGGGAAAAGGCAAATGCAGCAAAGAAAAGTGATACTGAAGGAAATAATAACGTTTTATAGTGTGAATAAAACATGAGCAACGAGCAAGAAAAAACGACTACAACAACAATAGGAAAATAGCGGTCCATTCAAAAGAGAAGGGAAAAAGACTTATTGTTAGGACACGGATAAAAGGATAACTGAAATGGAAGATTTTCACAAAGATGGGTTATCTTCTTTACAATTTCCTCACAGTTACGCAATTCTGATGCAGATGTGACATCAAAACATGCCTTACACATCTTACCTTCCGGAATTAATATTTGTTAGCCATACCATTTATATTGAAAAAAAAATGATATTCGAAATTCTTTCCTTCTCGAAAATCTACTGAATGCCAAACGCTAAAGAATGAGAATAAGATTGAATAAAAAAAAAAATCGGTGCTGTCCCTCCCTCATTCACCGGAAAGGTAGAGAGAGAAAAAAGTCGAAATTATACTATGCATGTTTTTGAAGAATGTACTGAGGCAGAAATTACACAGAAAGGTAAGAGGGAGAGATGAGAGAGAGAAGGCGAGGGAAAGAGAACGAGAGGGCGAGAGAAAGAGAGAGAGAGGGCGAGAGAAATAGAGAGAGAGAAAGGGCGAGAGAAACAGAGAGAGAGGGCGAGCGAAAGAGAGAGAGACAGAGAGAGGGCAGAGCGAAAGACAGAGAGAGAAAAGACAGACAGACACAGAGACACATTTAATCTTTGTTTGTCAAAAAAAAAAAAAAAAAAAAAATGATGTAGTTTTTATTTTGGTCCATGATGGAGACGGAGGCTTACAGCTTAGGATGTAAATATATTCATCTGATCTCTTCCCTCTCCTCCCTCTCTCCCTTCTCCCCCTCTCTCTCCTTTTCCCTTTTCTCTCCGCTTCTCCAACTCTCTCCCCTTCCCCCCTCTCTCTCCTTTTCGCCTTCTCTCTCCTCTTCTCCGCCTCTCCTCTTCTCCATCATCATTCCCTTACTCTCTACACCCTTCTCCCACTTACCTCCAACACCTTCTTTCTCTATATTTTTCGCTTTTTATCATCATTATTTTATTCCTCCCTTTCTCGTCTCTCTCTTTATTTTTTGCATCTCTTTCTTCCTATCTCTCTCACTCTGTCTATCTATTTATCTGTCTATCTGTTCATCTGTTTAGCTCTCTGTCTGTTTATCTATCTCTATATCTGTCTATCTATCTCTATATCTCTCTTCCTATCGTTTTATCTGTCTATCTATCTATGTCTCTATCTATTCCCCCATACTCACTCTATTTCCTTTCACACCATGTCCCCCATTTCTGCTTTTCTTTCTCTTTCCTCGTCTGCCTGTCTATCTGGCCATCTATCTATTTCTCT